GCCAACGATAGAAAAGAGTTTGGAAATAAAAATATTTTTAAAGAGTTAATTGCTGAAATTAACCATTTACAAAATAATGGCATAAACATTAATATCAATAATCAAAATTACACTTTATATTTCTCTTTAGCATTAATTCTTGGCGATAATTTGGGTTTACATTCAATGTTGGGATTTAGTGAAAGTTTCATGGCAAATTTTCCATGTCGATTTTGTAAGTCTTCTAAATTTGACTGTAATTACTCGGTAATTTGTGACAGTGCTAAATCACGCAATGAAGAGAATTACTTACAAGATTTAGCTACAAATAACTTGTCACTGACAGGTATTAATGAAGAATGTGTATGGAATCAAATTAATGGGTTTCATGCAGTTCATAACTATTCTGTAGATTTAATGCACGATATTTTAGAAGGTGTTTGTTCGTATGATATATGTGGCATACTATATGAATTCATTATTAATTTCAAGTATTTTTCTTTGGAACAATTAAATAATCGAATACAATATTTTAACTATGGTTCTCTTGATATTCAAAATAAACCGCAAATAATTACTATTAATGTTATAAAAAAAAAGAAAAAAATTAAAATGTCTGCTAGTGAAATGTTATGTTTTAGTCGACATTTGGGTGTTATGATTGGTGATCTGGTTCCAAGAGATTCTGAATATTGGCAACTTTATATACTGTTGAGAAAGATTATTGAGATAGTTACATTAAAATCAATCCAACCTTCATATGCATTAATTTTAACAACATTAATATCAGAACATCACCAGTTGTATTTAAAACTCTTTAACACCAACTTAAAACCAAAACACCACCATTTGTTACATTACCCAGATATTATGAAAAAAGTTGGCCCCTTGTCCCATTTATGGTCTATGAGATATGAATCAAAACACAGAGAGTCTAAATTAACTGCCCATTCCATTACTAGCAGAAAAAATATTTGTCTTACATTAGCTTTAAAACATCAATTAAAATTTGCCTACCGCTTGCTATCAAAATCAAGTATTTTATCCTCATCAATAAATATAGGGAAAGAAATAAGTTTGTCTGAAGTTGTCATAGAAAATATTCAACTTGACATTAGTGGTCCAACTATTGATTTTAATTCTGTGAGATTTGTGTCTTGGGTGGAGGTGAAAGGTACTCGATATTCTACTAAGCAGTCTAAACATAATACGATAATAATAGTTGATTTAGAAGATTTTCCAATATTTATAACAGTAAAATATATTTTTTTTAAACCCCAGAATGACATACCATTTTTAATTGGTCAATGTTTCAAAACCTTACAGTTTGACGAACATTTTCAGGCTTATGAGGTTAAAAGCTGTAATGATTTAATGTGTATTTCTTTCAACGATCTTCTTGTTGAACATAGTCCATGTGTTCTTAACACAATATCTAATGAATGTGCATATAAATCTTGTACATTTTAAAGTACCTAATAGTCAATAGATGTTCATATTTATTTTTTGTTATTAATTTATTACTTAACTATTTATTTGTTTACATTCAACTTAATAAATAATTAATGCTATGTTATTACTTACTATATTATATACCTACTATTATTATTTTTTAACTAATGTATTTAATGTATCAATAAACATACTTTTTAAATTATTTGCATCCATGTAATTATTATTTGTTTATTGTTTGTACCTATTTCTTTTTTTTTATACTTTCCTATTATTTAAGTACAAATAAATTATAATTAATATAAATTATCTAAAAAAATGGAGTATAGATCTAAATAACCAAACTCATATGTTGCAGCAACTAAATTTAATAGTTGATAGTACTATACGAGTAAGTAAAATTATATTTCCAATCTAATAATTAGGTCTAAGCAACCAAACTTACATGTTGCAGCAACTAAATTTAATAGTTGATTATACTATACTAGTTAGTATAAAATTATAGTTCCAATCTAATAATTAGGTTTAACCAACCAAAGTCATATGTTGCAGCAACTAAATTGAACAGTTGATTGTACCATGCCAATAAGTAAGAAAAAATATTTTCAATCTAATAATTAGGTTATTATAACTTAAACGTTATGTTGTTGTAGCTATTTAATCATTTTCAACCATATAAAATGGTTATTCCAACACAGTAATATCAACTAAAGACGATTAGGTCACCCAACCATGTTGAATGATAGTCTGTATAGCTACCATGGTTTATGGTTGGGGTAACTATTTAAATGGTAACTGTAACTATTTATTTTTTTCCGTGTATATGACTACTTTCAACATTCTTGCCAAAATCCTTCCAACCAAAAAATATTTTTTGAAAAATGTCCCTAGCCTTCCTAAAAACTTAAAGTAACCTTTTGCAAATCATATATTCGATTATTAAAATAAATAAAACATTTTATCATCATTATTTTATAATTAATTTTTGCCAACAAAATAAATTATACAAAAAAAAATTTAGTGAAAAATCGTACTTCTCAGTTTGAAAACTGACTGTGCCATACGTTTGGATAAATCAATTCTTGTTTGCAGTTAGCATTCTACCGAACAAAAACTGAATTTGTATTCATTACTTAAAATAAATTGTATTGAAGTGAAATTATAATTTAAAAAAAAATATTATGACTGAAATTTAAATTTAGTTGTTTGGGTCAATACTTAACACCTATGTTTAAAATTGTACACAAATAAGTAAATGGAAACTTATAAAATGTATGATAACTGATAAGAACTTAGTTGGTACACGGACCTGGACGTTTCGCCACCACCGTTTCGCCGGCCGGGCAAATTTCCGACCAACCCTTCCAATTTTGAAAACATATTCATTTTTAAAAAGGAGATGCTGGAAGAGAGAACGTGTTGATGGCGGCAAAATTACATTCTTTCCTGTGAATAATTATTTCCAGCGTCAATGATTTGACTATTGTTTTTAACATGAAAAAAAATTATAAAAAGCGGGTAAGTCGATGTCGCTCTGCTGTATAGTAAGTTACAAGTGATTCACTGTATAATGGATGGAATTAAATTTGAATTCAATGATACAATATCATTGTATAAGAAAAACGATTATGAGTGGAGACGGTATGTCAGTCTTGGTTTAAGACATATTAATACCAATATAACTGAGTCAAAATTCAAATTTTAAATGCTTATAAAAAAAAATGTGCCTATGTATTTTAAATATTTTACAATTGCTATTGTAAAAATATATCAGGAGCCTTGTATTAAATTTTCAAGCTTTTTCGCCCAACAAATAAAATT